TTTATTTTACAATTTAAATTGTATTAAATTATAAAATAAAAATTATTAAATAAAAAAATAATACTCCAAATTAAAAAGTTCATCCTATTCAATAATTTATGTTATACATTTTAGATTATAAAATATTTTTTTAACAATAAATATATTTTACTATTAAATTGCAAACAATTCAATAATATTTTTATCGAAAGAGTAAAAATCAAAATATTATGGTATTAAGACATCCATCATAGTTATCATGATCATTTATTAAATGAATCATTGATCGAATCCCAATTAACGAATAACTGTGATTAGACATCCTAATATCATAACGTTCTAACTTTTAGATTTTATATTTTTATAATAAAAGAAAGAAAAACCTTTTTATTCAAGTCATATGAATGTGTAATCGATAAACAAAGAAATAATTACTAAAAGACTTTTGCTAATGGTGGAGATTGCATCCAATTTTTGTTTCAGTATGGAGGATTAACTATATAAGTGGATATTTGGGCATGTGTCATTTCATATTTTTCCATGGTTACTTTTGACAACTCCCTGCCTTTTCATATCTCTGGTAATCCTTCTTCTACGTCAAATAAATGATAGAATTTAAGAAATATTGTACCATAAAATTAGGTGAATAGTGATAAGAATTTATTTATAAATAAAATGTATACATTATATTTATATAAAATTTTAATTATTTAATTTTTTATTTTTAATAGTTAAAATTTATTTATATTTATTAAATATAATTATTTTTTATTTAATATGTTAGATATTAACTTTGTTAATTACAAAATAAAAATATCAATTTTTAATATTTTTTATTTAAAATATTAATTTTTAATTTTTTTTATTTAAAGATTAATTGAATGATAATGTTGATGTGATAAATATACTTTTTAATTAGAATATTGAAAGTTTGATATTTTTAAATAGAAAAAAATTAAGAGTTGATATTCTTAAATATAAAAAAATTAAAAGTTAGTATCTTTGTTTAGAATTAAGTAAAATTAACATTTTTAAATAAAAAATTATAAAGTTAATATCTTTATTTTTATCTTTTCTCAACTTTAATAGATTCTACCTTTATTCAATAGTTTTGTTTTGTACCAAAAAACATGACATTAATGTATGAGTATTAGAATAAAAAAGTGTTTTTAAAATTAGATTGTAAATTAAAAATGTAATTTAATTAAAATTATTATAATACTCTTAATAAAATTCTATCCTATATTTATTTACAAATAATAATTTAATAATTTTAGTTTCTGCACATTAAAAGGCAGTTCTAATTAAAGAACATGAAACTTGTATTAGATAGAATCATGAATCTACTAATTTTATAGGTATTTGTGAACTATTTCATCTATAGATCCATAGATACCGAGCAAAATTAACCTCCATGCAAAGGTACGCAAGGCCAAATTGTTACACCTAAAATACCGATTCAAACATATATAAATATTCACAATATACATCATCACTTGAGCTCACCACTAATCATAAATGATGTTAGCTTAAACATGTCAAAGTTTAACTTGGTTTGATTTGTTTGCCGATCTCGAAAACCATGGGTGAATTTCATATGCGGAGCCATTGGGACATCATCACCATATATAATTCAAGGTTGTGTAATAAAACACAAATGTTTTTAATTTTTTTAATTTATCTTAATTGTATAAGACTCAAATATAAATTTTTTCCTTATTTAAAAAAATTATCATTAAATTGCGCAAGTGGTTTGTTTGCTCACTCATATTCAATGTTCAGAGGTAGGCAATCTGTCGTAAAAAGGACTAAAAAATATTAGGGTTGGTTTAATTTGTGTTTTTAAGAGTGTATTAAATATATTTTTTTGT